TTTGGAAAATCCTGAACTGTCAGAATACTACAATAATGTTGTGAAAGGAGAAAAATACCCTTAGACAGAGCCATGGGAATGTCGCCTTTCACCATTCCTGTACTGGGCTGTCCTGGAGTAGTCAAGGCCCTTGGGAGAACAGAAGTACAAGGGCTACATAGAGCCTTTGTACAGAGTTTTCCCGCTCTCTGCTCAGGCACCCTGCTGTGGCCCCAGGAACCAGCAGGGAAGAAGAAGGCCAGATGTGGAGGCCACAGTGAGAGGTTTGGATTTTCTTGCAAAGGTAACTGGAGTCATTGGAGATTTTCCATCATGGTAGGGGGTGGGGGAGAAGGGAGGGAGGGAAGGAAGCACAGCATGATGCTCATTTTAAAAATATTATAGTGCAATGATCAAAATGTACAAGTTGATTGAGAAAACATACCTGAAAATGCAAAAGTCCTAGAATCGTTCAAGTGATTCTGAAAAAGGACAAATTTGGAGGACTATCACTACTTGATTTCAAGACTTACTGTAAAACTACTCAAGATAATGTGGTATTGACATAAGGATAGACAAATAGATTAATGAGACAGAATGGAGAGGCCTGAAATAAATCCACACATATATGATCGATTGATTTTTTGACTATGTTGCCAAGGCAATTCAATGGGAAAAGAAGAGTCTTTTCAATAAATGGTGCTAAAACAACTAGATAAACATATAGAAAAAATTTAACCTTGATCCCTACCTCATACTACACACAAAAATAATTTGAGATGAATTATACACCTAAACATAAATTATAAAATTACAAAGTTTGCAGAAGAACAGGGGAGAATGTCTCTTTGGCTCAAAAAACACTAAACGTGTAAAAGAAAAAACTGGTAACTTGGTCTTTTTCAAAACTAAAAACTGTTGTTCATCAAAAGACATCATTAAGAGAATGAAAAGGCAATCTACAAATTTGGAAAAAATATCTGCAATGCATATATCTGACAAAAACTTATGTCCAGATACAAAGGATTTGTATCCAGAGTATATAAAGAATTCCTAGAGCTCTGATGATAAAAAGACAAACAACCCAATTTAAAAAATGGGCAAAAGACTTTAATAGACACTTTATAAAAGTATACAAATGGCCAATCAGCATGTAAAAATATGCTCAGCATCTTTAGTCATCTGAGAGACGCATATTTAAACCATAATGAGATGACACACTCCCTCCAGAATAGCTAAAAATGGAGAAGAGTGACAATACTGATGAGGATGTGGAGAACCTAGAACTCTCATATATTGTTGGTAGGAGTATAAAATGGAACAACCATTTTGAAAAACTGTTTGACAGTTCTTTACAATGTTAAACATAAATCTCGCCTTTATTCCAGCAATTGCGTTCCTGGGGATTTACAACAGAGAAACGGAAACATATGTCCACAAAAAGACTTGTACATAGATGTTTATGTCAGCTTTATTCATAAAAACCTCAAACCAGAAACAACCCAAATGTTCACCAATAAGAGATGAGACAGATTATGGAATATTCATAGATGGAAAACGACTCAGTCCTAAAAAGAGAATGAACTACTGATATAGAAAACAACATGGATGCCTTATTTACATGAAAAAAGGCAGGTATAAAAGAGTACATACTGTACGATTCCATTCATGTAAGTTCAAGAACAGGCAAAGCTAATGGATGGTGATAAAAAGAGAGCAGTGCTTGCCTGTGGGGGTGGGGACTCTGAAAAGGTACATGAGGACACTTTCTGGGGGGAATGGAAACATTCTATCATCTTAATTGGCGTGATGGTTACACAGGTAGATAATTGACAGAGTTCATGTACTTAAGGTCAGTGCATTTCATGGTGTGTAAATTTTACCTTCATGATCAAAAAAAGATCATAATGCCTGATGTTTGGGGCAGAGTGGAAGCAGAGAGGCCTGCAGGGATGCCAGCCGGGAGGCTGTTACGATAGTCCCACACACGACGGTGGTGGGAGATGTCAGGAGTGGCCATGCTTGGGATCTCTTTTGGAGGGAGGGTCAGCACTGATTAATACAGTCGGCAAGAGTCTCGTTGAGAGCTGGCCCCGGACAATTGAATCCTGGAAGCCCGTTTATTTATTCGATTTGTATATTTTACTCTGACCCCTTCTCTTTCTAAAATAATTTGAGGCAAGTTATAACAAAGGACATGCGTTCAGTGAGACAGAGAAGACATAACTAAAATAGAAAATTGAAACCAGAAGTTGGAAGGAGCAAATATGCCAGTTTGGGAACTGATACCAGAAAACTAAGATCAAGAACTTCTTTCTGCCCAGTGCCCTTGGCTGGGCACCTTACTGGGGCTGCTGAGGGGTTGTAAAGGGTCTTTTAATATCAGAGGAAAGACAGCTCAGACTATAGACACCCAAGCAGTGCTGAATCAAGTTGATTTTAGTTGAAGAAGAATATATACCTTTTAGAGACTCTGGGCTCATAAAATCAAAAGTATACATTTTTGCAGAATTTGACTTGAAACAGAATATTACATCATAAAGGTCTGCTACCTCAAGTGCTCTACAAAGAAATGAGGGGTATTTTAGAGAAAACTACCTTCCTTCTGTTTGAGACTGAATTTAGTAAGCAGAAATGTAAATAGCATGGGGTGTAATTTAGGATAAAATACAAGGTTGGGAATACTTTCCATGTATTTATGGAATCATTATCATTTAAAATTACTACAAACTAACATGCTGATACGGGAATTGAGTTTAGTTTGACTATACCAAGTCTACTTGAAGGCAGCTATTGATACAGTAGAAATGCTGAAAACACATGTTGATTATAGATTGGTCATTACCAGTATAGACAATGCAGTTATGTTGCCAATTGAATGAGAGAGGAATCTTGTCAATATTAGACATTCTTTAATTAATAACAATTAACAGATCAGAAATGAAAGAGGAATTGAAGAAAAGAGAGAATTTATGTGCGGGGAAGATGTTAAAAATATACACCAGGGAGGCAGTCAACATTAACAAACATTAAGGCTAGTGTTAGTTCTAGAACTTTCACTTCTTGAAATGGACCAGTCCAAATGAATGCTTAAATCAACATCAGAGGATCAATGACAAACTCCTACTGGTATTGCCCGTCGGATCTAATAGCAAAGGAAGGAAAATAATCATCATAAACAATTTATACTGCTCCAAGATGGCTAAATTTGGAGTTGATTCTTCAGCAAATGGGATTATAGTTTATTTCAAACTGGTGAGTAAAAATGACCACATCTGGATACCACTAATGATAAAATCATATTCCTGTATTAATAGTAAATGGAGAGGATGAAATAGGAAGAAAACTGAACAGTTGGAGAATCAGAGGAATTTACTTACTCCTGATGCTTTAGGTTTGGCTGAAGCAGAGCAGGTGGTTTAAGGTGAGGAAGGGTCTGTTGTGACAATACCTGGGCCCTGTGGTGTTTGATGTCAGGTGCTCCCTGGGGACGAGGAGAGTGGTGCAAAATAGAGGTGGACAGATGATGAAGGCTGGGCCACCCAGGGTCCAGGGACTTCCTCCAGCTTAGGAATGAGGAGCGGCGAGGGGTGGGGACAAGACATCCATATGAGGGATCTGTAGACCTGGTTTCTGGTCTTTGCTCTGCCACTTACTAGGTGACCCTAGTTGGACAAGTCATTTGACCTCCCTGAGTCTAGGCTTTTCCGTCTGTTGCCTGGGGCAGTACTTCCTGTCGTGCTTGGCCTCTTATGGAAGGTTGTTGCAAGGATCCGTGGGACAGAGGGCACATGGGCCCTCCGAAAAAGTCTGCAAATGTCTGCTACAGTTGTTTTTTATTATTTGCTGGTGACTAACTCTCCAGTGTGAGCTGGAGCTGGAGCCATGCAATGGTTCATGCTCAAGCCTGGAGATATTTTAGGAAATAATCAAGACAAGATGCATTGGGTTGGAGCCACAGGAAGAGTCATAAATTTTGACAGTTTGCTGTTTGATAAAATTAATGATGCTTGAGAGGAACACTGTGAAAACCTACAGGAGAGGAAAACACAGAGTGTGTTTGGGAAGAGAGCTTAAGCCAATGTGGAAACTGCGAGTCATTGAGGAATGTTGGTTATCGTCCTGCTGCTGGTGGGCAGTTTACACGCACTTTACCTACACATAGGCACACACACATAGGCACACACATGTATACACACGTGTACACACGGCAACAAGCACCAGATTTTATTGGCTGAGTCTCAGAAGAGACTGGCGAATAAAGAAGACTGACATTAATTCCAACGATGGAGAATTGCAGTTTGCGCACTTAGGGGCTCACCACCTTCTAAGGAAATGCCACCTGCCTCTGAATTTTTAAAATAAAAACAGCGACAGTGTTTTTGCCTTGTCTTGTTTCTCGCTGGTGGAAAGGAGTGGCTCCTATAGCTCTGGGGATTTGTGGCTGCTGTGTACAGGGAGTGAGAAGAGGGCAAAGAAGGGGGACCGGACCTCATGGTTTTTAAATTATCAAAGCCCTGAGATGGTCTATGGTTAGAAAGAAAAGTGAAGAGTATTGCTTTTCCTGTGTCCAGAATGTTCCCCAACCTTCCCAATCCTCTGTCTTCACGTCAAGATCGTCATCTGGACTTGAGCATCAGAGCAGAGGGGCTGCACCATGTTCTAGGCAGAACCCTGGAGGTGTCCGGCTTTGGAGACCCAGAGGGACAATCTTGGTGGAGGCAACACAAGGCCTGAGGGGGGTGTCAGGAGCCTGGCCTCCATACGGACCCAGTCGACTTTCTATTGTCTAAGGAAAGAGTCTTTAAACACTGTATGTGGTCGGAGCCCAGATGGCCACGTTAAGAAAGGATGAAAACATTTACTTCAGCAAGCTGATAGGATTATTTTTAATTTTAAAATTGTTTTTATTGTGTTGCATTTATTATTATAAAAGTAACGTACGTTTATTATCAAAATGTTAATTTAAAAGGTCAGAAAACCATACGGAAACCTTGACATTGGGTCTGTCGTGTTTTCAGGCAGAGAAAACAAAGAATTTTATCAGTCGAAACCTTGTCATAGGAGAAGTCCTCTCCACAGCAGACATGGCCACAGGAGTGAAGGTGAGAGAACTGGGCACCCACTCTTCATGAACGGGTACTTAGTTTTGAATGGCAAGAAGTAAAAAATAGAGCCCTGTAGATGTCAGTCTGTTTACTGGAATAGATGGTAAAATAGTACACCTTATTACCCATCCCCCTGACTTCCTCTTTAACCATTATCTCCAGTCTTATATTTGCTTTTTCTTTGCTTTTCTTTTTGCTTAGTTTTATTGCATTTGTGTCAATCAATTATTTTTGTTTGTTTTAATTTTGTAAAAACAATATCATAATCATGCATGATTTTCTTTCTTCACTTAAATGTTATCCCTAAGATTGATCCATATTGTTGCATGCCACTGTATTCATTTATATTTATTTTTTTAAAAATCTTTTTACTTTGAAATAATAATGCTCACAGGAAGTTACAAAAATAGTACACAAAGTCATGTGAACTCTTTACCCAGTTTCCCTCCGTGGTGACATCTCATATAGCTGTAACGCAACATAAAACCAGAAAATCAACATTGGTACAGTACTGATGACTAGACTACAGACTTTATTCAGGTTTCACTAGTTTTTACATGCACTCAGTTTGTGTGTGTGTGTGTGAGTGTGTGTGTAGTTCTATGCAGTTTGGTCCCATATATATAGTTTTGTGCAACCACCACCACAATCAAGATATAAAACTGTTTCATCACAAAGAAACTTGTAGTGCTACTCATTTGCATTTACATCCAGCCCCCACCCCATCCCCGTCCTTTGGGAACCACTAATCTCTATTTTTATGGCTTTACCATTTTGAGAATGATATATGAATGGAAGTTCATTCATTTTTGACTACTATGCAATATTCCTTTGCATAAATATGCCACAGCACTTGGAATTCTTAGACGTCTCCATTTTTGTTGATCAAATGGGTATAAAATGACACCACATCGTGTGCTTACTTTGTGTGTCCCAGCTCACAAAGGATGGTAAACAGAATAGCTTGGAGGGTGTGGTTGCCATGGCTCTTTGTGGTGCCCTAAGTCCCCCAGCAGAGGGTCATTCATGTGGCCCTGCATATGCCCTCCTTTCCCTCCCTGGACACCACTGGGCCTTAAAATAAGTTCCTGCATCCAAACACCCATTCCTGGTGTCCCCAAAGGGGAGAAATTATAATTAGAACATGAAGAGAGAACGATCAGACAAGAAGCCAGGTCGATCGTTGGTGAGTCCAAGGTGATAGTTATTTCTGTCTGCAGTGTAGACATTTAAAAATGGGTAGAAATTAAAAATAAAAATATGTGAGTGCCATCCCATGGTGAGGACACCCACCATCAGGTCCTTCAGCGGAGACTGGATTCCCTGTGATGCCAGCCAGGCAGGGTCTGTTGCCTCCTGGATGGGTGGCTGTGGTTTCCAGAGAGAAGAAAGTGAACTGAGATGCAACAAATAAATCCCCCTTTCAGAAATACTAGAGGATCCTGGTCTAGACTCATGATCCTCAGTTCGTGCTTTTGCCGTTTTGTCCCCCACCTGCCTTCTCTTCAGCAGTCCCCTGGTGGGGTGTGGCCATGGGGAAATCTCCACAGAGTGTTCCAGCTCTCTGGGGGGAGTCCTCTCCTCTGCATCTCCAGGGTCTTGCACAGAGCCTGGTGCATAGAGTTGCATAGGGAATGTGTGAATGAATGAAGGAGAGGCAGCCTGTGGTTTAAAGCAGACTTAAGACACATTTCAACCAATCACAATGCGTGGACCTTATTTAGATCCTGGTTCAAACAACAAACTGCAAAGAAAAATTATATCAGTTGGGAAATTTGAACATTGGATATTTGGCAATATTAAAGAACTGTTGTAGTTTTAGGTGGGATGTTTGAGGGTTATGTTTTAAAAAAGAGTCTTTATCTTTTACAGGTGTCTGGGAAATATTCATGGTGAAATGATAGGATGTCTGGGATAAACTTCAAGATTACCTGGGGTGTAGGATGGGAAAGCGAACTGGGGGAAAGATGAAGTAAAATGGACCATGAGCTGGTCATCATAGTGTTCGTTATACTCTTCTATTTTGTTTGAAACTTTCCACAACAAAAAACATTTTTAAAAGTTTTACTCCTGAATATCCTAGAAGGAAATATGAATAGATTTAAAGGAACAGATCTTTAAAAATGCTTCTCTGATCACGTCACTCCTTTGCTTGCAACTCCTTCCCATTATGCTTTAGAAAAACCCTCCCATTGTTGATGTGGCCCCTGGTCCTTGTGCGGTCTGGCCCTACTCACCTCTCCAGACACCATCCATTCCACTTTGTCCGCCTCCCCAGGACATTGGCCTTCTTTTGGTTCCTCTTCTCCACCTTTGGACCACTCTTGAATGGTCCATACTAGAATGGTCTCTTCCCTTCCTTCACCTGGCGGACACCTGCTCACTCTACAAGTCCCAGCTCAAGTGTCCTTCCCTCAGGGAAGCCGCCCTCTGGCCTGCAATTTAAATCCTAGTCTAAAACTGTGCCTTCAAGTTTTCCGTCATGGTGTGTACCCATTTTAAATTTATGTATTTATTCATGTGTCTAATTATTGTATGTCTCTTGGCACCACTAGAGGGCAAACTCCTTGGAGACTATCACCCCCTACATTCTTGCTATTTAGTATCACTACATGAGTGTTAAACGAATACGTAGAATCAGAACAGTATGGCAGTTACTCAAAAGGTTAAATGTAGAATTACCATATGACCCAGCAATTTCACTCCTAGGTGTATACCCCAAAGAATTGAAAACAAGGACTCAATCATACTTGTATGCCAGTGTTCATTGCAGCATTATTCACAAAGCTAAAAGGAGGAAACAAACTAAGTGTCCATCAACAGATGGATGGATAAACCAAATGTATATACATACGATGGAATATTATTCAGCTACAAAAAGGAAAGAAGTTCTGGTACATGTTACAACGTGGATATTTATTTATTTATTTATTTTGTGAGGAAGATCAGCCCTGAGCTAACATCCATGCTAATCCTCCTCTTTTTGCTGAGGAAGACCGGCTCTGAGCTAACATCTATTGCTAATCCTTCTCCTTTTATTTTTTCCCCCGAAGCCCCAGTAGATAGTTGTCTGTCATAGCTGCACATCCTTCTAGTTGCTGTATGTGGGACGCTGCCTCAGCATGGCCGGAGAAGCGGTGCGTTGGTGCGCACCCAGGATCTAAACCCGGGCCGCCAGTAGCGGAGCGCGCGCACTTAACCACTGAGCCACGGGGCCGGCCCTACAACATGGATAAGCCTTGAAAACATGATGCTAAATAAATAAATAAATAAGCCAGACATAAAAGGATAAATATTGTATGAGTCCGCTTACATAAAATTTCTAGAATAAGGAGATTCTTTGAGACAGAAAGTAGATTATGAGTTCCCAGAGGCTGAGAGAAGAGGAGAATGGGGAATTATTGCTTAATGGGTACAGTGTTTCTGCTTGGGGTGATGAAAAAGTTTTGGAAATAGATAGCGGTGATGGTTGCACAACATTGTGAATGTACTTAATGCCACTGAATTGTACACTTAAAAATGGCTAAAATGGCAAACTCTAGGTTATATGTATATTGTACCACAATAAAAAAAGCAGACATTATTATTAACTCTCTTTGCTTTCCAATGCTTCATCACTGCAGGGGATTTTTTTTTTCCTTGTGCTTGAACATCCTAGACAGTTAGAAGAATGTGTAGACTGTGCTCCTGGGTGAGCCCAGGAGGGCTGTGTCTGTCTTTTCTGTTGGCGGTGGAGGGAGATGTCCAGGGAGGGGATGTGGTGCACTGGCAACAGTTCCTATGAACTCTGGTTGGTCAGGACGTCCCCAGATCTCACTGCCAGCCTAAGGGTAGCTAGTGGCCTCTGCTGGCTTTCCTTTTATACCTTCACATGACTGGCTGTCAACTGGAGCAGGGGGCGTCAGCATCAGTTCATTGAAGTCACCTGCACCCGCAGGCCTGGGCCCCTTTTCTCTCTCCCTCCAGGTCTGTGTTTTCCAAAGGCTCTGGGTGTCCCTGAGTGCTTTGGACAAACACAGTTGTCCTCACACAGCCGAGTGCTGGCAGGGCCAGGGCTGGCTCTGAGAGCAGCTCACCGCGAGGGGGCGGGAAAGTGAGAGAGGTGCCAGGAAAGAGACTTTTCTTGACTGAGGGCTTTGAATCTCCACTCTAGCTTGGGAGCCAGCCCAAGGTCTTCTGCCAGAAACACTGATGCAACCTGGAGGGACTCTCAGGCCAAAAGAAACGTGACCTGCTTCCTTTTCTTCTGACCCTTGACCATTCTCTTTTTTCCTTATTTGAACCATCTTACTATCTGTCTTAGTTTGCTTCGGCTGCCAGCACAGACAGTGTGGCTTAAACAATGGAAATTTATTTTCTCACAGTTCTGGAGGCTGGGAAGTCCAAGATCAAGGTGCCAGCCGATTCAGTTCCTGGTGAGGACCCTCTTCCTGTAGATGGCCGCTTCCTCGCTGTGTCCCCACATAGGGGTTGGAGGGAGAGAAAGAGAGAGAGGGAGAGAGACAGAAAGCAAGCTCTCTGGTAACTCTTATAAGGACACTAATCCCATCCTGAGGGCCCCACCCTCATGACCTCATCTAAACCTAATGCCCTCTCAAAGGCCCCACCTCCAAATACCATCACAGTGGGGGTTAGGGGCTTCAGCATATGAATTTTGGGGGAAGACAATTCAGTCCATAGCACTGTCCTGTCTGAGGTCACCATTGTCCCAAAACCACATGCAGTGCCTCAGTGTACCCCATTTGTTCTTGGAATGGAAAGAACCTGAAGGCACTTGAAGGTTCTTTAGGAGACCCACCGTCAGACCGTTGTGTAGGAAGGGCCTGGCCTATCAACAGTGGACGCAGGGCAGACCTCTCTGGTGCATGGTGGCCTGGAGACAATCGGAATGACTTGGGTTCACGTTCAGTCTCTAGGACTCCTTAGTCACAGCTCTGGCACCTTCCTTCTACATCTAAGGTCGTCATCAGTGACCTTAGTTTTCTCTTCATGAAGATGGCACTGCTAACGTCCATTCACGGGCTGTGTTCAGATTTAGGTTGATGATGCCTGTGAGGAGCTCCTTGCTGTGCCTGGCATGCAGCAGGGGCTCAGTAAGTGGTGGGGGCTGTGACCCCTGAGATGTGGCCCCGAGCCCTTCCCAGCGGTCTTCCAGGTAGTGGCTCAGTTAGTGGACTGAGGTGAAATCAACCTGCGTTCCAGCCCTAGCCCACCAGCGTTCCCGGCCACTGTGGGATGTCCCTCTTTCTAGTCACCGTTTGGAAGTTAAGGGGCCCTGCCAGAGGCCCCAGCCTTGGGCCCCTTCAGCCTGTCCTGACCGCACTTCCCAGCCCCCAGGAAGCCCCAGCTGTGGCCTCTGGAGGCTGCTGCCAGCCCTCCTTGGGCATGTTGCAGTCATGACCTCATATGCCTGATGTAGCTGTCTTTTTTCTCTTCCCGATTAGTGAGAAGGGAGAGAGGTGGCTTTCCCAAACTAACAGTTCAAGGTGTGCACCTATTTAGAGTTTTTGTTGGGTATCCTCGCCTTTTTGTATTTCCTCGCCACTGCCTTTCCCAGTCTCTCTCAGAACAAATGGACCTCTCTGTCCTGTCCCCTGAGATGGCCCGGGGTTGCGCTGCTCCCTCCGGCTGGACTGATGCCCTTCTTCATTCAATCTCAGCATCCCTGTCTTAGCGAATCCATCCCCTCCTCCCCCGCTCCTCCCGTGTGCTTCCCTCTTGCAGTTAATGGGCCTCCACCCATCTGGGGACTCAGGCCAAAGACCCAGGTGTCACCTGGAGTCCTCTCTTGTCCTCTCCTCCTATATCCAACCCATCAGCTTTGTCTCCAGAATCTACCCTGAATCCCTCTACATCTCACCCCCTTCACTGCAGTCTGACTCACCTCAGTGGCCACTCGCTGGGTGCCTCCTTCCTGTGGCTGGGCTGGGGTCCATGCCCCTCCCAGGAGACATCTGCTGAAAGTGTACCACGCCAGGGAGTCATCTACTTAGAGCCGTCCAGGTGCTCCTGTTTGGTCAGATTGCCTGCTATTCAGAGGATGTGGCTTTGACAACCCACTGGCCAGCACATGGGGGAAGATCCCACATTGAACTGACTGTGTGGGTTGGGGTCACACAGACGCTGCCTCTGTTAACTGCTGAAGTTTTCTGCAAACCTACAGGTTTCACTCCTCCAGCCCAGGGCTCCTACTGAGAACATTTAGTGAATGGAGCCTTTCAAAATGTGGAGGTAACATTCTGGTCTGGCTTTTCTTTTTCCCCTTTCTAAAGAGGAGGAAGGGATTTAAAACCTAGAAAAGGAATATATTGTAAAGAACACATTAGACACCAGCCAAAGAGATTTAGGGGTGGAAAATTCAACCTGTTTTAGTTTTAGAAAAATATTTTTCTTTAACTTGATTTCCACGATGGTTTAGGGAAAAAAAATTACCATTTGGATGGATTCCATTTTCCCAGGTTGGAATTAGTAATACAATTTGCAGCGCCCATGATGATTCTGTGGAGAAGAGTGCTGAGCAATCGGGGGTGTTAAGCATCTTCCAGGGAAGCTTGGTGATTCTCCAAACGGAAAGCACTTCATCTGTCAGGTGTGATTAGTGAAATTCGTCTGTCATGATGGCAGAGCGTTTCAGCTGGTCAAGCGGTTGGAGTCGATGAATCACCAGTCGATGCAAGTTAGGCAGTTAGTGCTAGGCTGATCACAGGAACTAGTTCTCGCCAGAGGCTGATGACAGTTCCCAGATGGGAGCATGTGAAGATATCGTTCCCGCCACTTCCCTGCAAGGTCTTCCTTGGGGTCACTGTGTTCCCTAGGGCTCCTTCAATTGTAGTAACCCTAGAAAAGAAAAGGGTGTCTATTGGCTGCTGTAATTGAAGAGTCCGGGGTGTGGCAGGCTTCAGGTGTGGGTGTATGGGACCTGGTCTCTCATCTCTCGGCTCTGTCTCCGTCTCCCCACCTTGACCCCTGTGTGTTGGCTTCATTTACCAGCTCTTGTGATGGCAAGAGCAGCCAGCAGCACCAGGCCTCCGTTCCTCCAGGTTCTACTGCATCCAGAAAGGGAGAGCTTCTCTTCCTCAGGAGCTCACCCACTGATTGGACCCACCCAGATCATGGTTCCATCCTGAAGCCATCTATGGCCATGATGCTATGCAGATCAGCCAGTCCTGGGCCCCAGGCTCATCCTAAAGCTGGGATGGAGGTTAACATCAGCCACAAACCATTTGGACTGATTCTGGAGGAGGACGGCTTCCCAGAGTAAAACGGGCTGTGTGGCTAGGAGGGGGTGAAGGGATGCTGACCTGCAGACGCAGCCAATGTCTGTACACCTGAGCGCTCTGTCTTTGCAATCAGTCCCCTGCTCCCTTCAAATGGCCCACTGCAGTCTTCCTTCTCCCGCTCCTCCTCTTCTTCCTCGTCTGCTTTCTCTTTGTCAGCAATGCTTTTCTAGGGTTTATGAAAGACCAGACAAAGTGTTTGGCAGTTGACCATCAGTGAATCCTTGCGGCAACCCTATGAAGTGCTGTTAGGCATTAGGCAGCTTCGGTTTGAACCCCAGCTCTGCCCACTTTCTCAGGGTGCAGCCTCAGGCAGGTCCCTTCCCTCTGAACCTCAGTGTCTTCATCTGTCAAGTGGGGGTCATGATGTCGTCTTCCCAGGGTCGTTGTGAGAATCAATGAACTTGTGTGTATGGAGCTCAGTGCCTGGAAAGGGTGAGTGCTCAGGAAGTGGGGGTGCTCATCATGCACTCCGTTTGTCAGATGCAGAAACTGAGGCTACTATGTCATTTGTTCAAGGTCGCACAGCCAGTGGGAGGCTGAACTTGGATTTGAGCCCAGGCTGTCTCATCCCAAGCTGAGTGCCTGCTCGTTTTGCAGCATTGCCTTTTCCATCAGCCTTCCTGTTTGCTGACTGTTTCCCAGGGCAGGACTCACCTCTGCAGACTGTGGTCAGCACCTGGGGTCAAGGGCACAAACACTTTGTTGCACTTCTACGTACCAGGCACTAAGCTAGATCTGAGCAGACAACGCGGAATGAATGTTCAGAACAATCATTTGATGGGGTGAACTGGGCAGCTCCACCGATGGAGGACTGACTCTCTTGTTGCTGGGGAGGCCTCTCCAAGAGAGGGGACCATGCGCTACGTGTGCAGAGAGGAAGTGGAGCTTGACAGGCAGCGAGGCAGCGAAGGGAAGGGCACAGAAGCCTTGCCACCTGTGGGACTTATGGAAAGCTCGAGCTGAATAGATGCTCCTTGAATGGAGTCTGACCCGTGGGTTTAGTGGTCATTAAATTGCTGACTGTTGCTAACAGTGGTCTGTATTGTCCTTGTTTCCAGTGTGGAATAATTTATTGGCTATTTGGAGGTGCAATCAGGAATCTTGGAAGCCCAGGACATGTAACTAAGTGGCTTCAGCCTCTCCAGGTATGGCGTGTACTCAAAGATGTCCTCTTCTATGGAAAGCCTTAAAAATTCACAGTAGCTAGGTGTGTGTGTGTGTGCTCGCGCGCGTGTGTGTTTGCAGAGAAAGAAGATAACACAGAGAATTAGTGTCAGCAAGAATTTTGTTTGGAATGAGAATTTCAAGACTATCTTTTAAAAATTGCATGGAGTCTGTCATATTGTTATCACATTAGTTGTCACCAGGCCGAATTTTTATAATTATCTCCAACTCACCCCTCCCTCTCTTACCAACATTCGTAATGATCTGAGAGGTCTGCAATTGCAGCAACCATCTGACTGGCTAATTCCCTTCTAATGTCTGGTAAACTCCAGGAGCAGAAATACACGGGGATGTTTGCAATGACCGAGAGGGGCCACGGGAGCAACGTGAGAGGTATCCAGACCGAAGCCACTTTTGATCTCTCTGCCCAGGTGAGGATTCTGTCCATTGTTCTGTGGTTCAGGTCAGCTGGCCACCTGCACAGAACTAGACTCTCTTCCTTCCTGAGTCCAACTTCGCACCCTCTGTGTGTGCTCTCTGACCAAGGGGCTCAGATTCAGAACGAATGTCTAAGTGCTTTAGTGGAGGTGAACGTATGCTCAGCCTTCATGAGTCTAATACCAGCCAACACTTACACAGCACCTACTACGCTGTGGGCACTGCTCCAAGCACTTTACCTGTGCTCGTTAATTTAATGCCTTGTGACAACTCTATGAGAATAGTACTGGAGATAGTCTGTTGTCCTTCCCAACAGTAGCAGGTAAATGACCGGAAGAGATGTCTTTTTGGCACTCTCCATCGCACTGTGTGGCTGGAGGGCACTGTCTGCTGGGGCTTCCTTACCAGGAGCCAAGTCCTCTGTACTGGCATTATGCAATGTTTTTAATCCTGACCTGCACGAAAATTCGCATGGCAACGGAAACAAAATTTCACAAAACAATCTTACCTTTACTATGTGTGTGATGAACTCCAATCATTTCCCTTCCATTCTCATTAATTAAATAGATGTTGGTCAAGACCCTCTAAATTGATATCCCTCCAGTAATGTGAAAGCCCTGCTGTCAGTCACTCCCCCATCTCTTTAGCTCCTACTCCCCCTGAATAAAGGAAGCAACTCTTTCCTTATTTCACTCTCCTTTATAGTTTCTTGTTTGATATTGGGTATTCTTAAGAACTACAAAGGAATAAATACATTTTGAAGTTCTTTCTAGAAATGAGTGTGTCAATATATACGTGCAAGCATGTGCTACGAGTGCGGGTGTGGCCATGTGCACGTGTGGGTGGCTACTCGGTCACTTCTTCGTGTTTGCTGAGTTTGTTCTCTTAGAATCTGGGTTTTTGGTAGCAGGTGTCCCTGACCCACGGGTGATAGTTGGAGGCGATCAGAGTTTAGAACGACAGATTCAGGTGGGGGTTGTATTGGAGGAGGTCCTGCCTTCCCTCCTGCCCTGATGCTAGTTCTCCACAGTGGACAGCGATGTCCAGGTTGGACATCGCTGATAAGGACAAGAAGAATGACTGCCATTTACTGAGTGTTCTCTGTGTACCCGGCTCCACATCAGGCTCCCTCTGTATAGTACTATATTCCCTCGCGATGACAATCCCGTAAACGGGACAGTAACCTACTTCTGTTAATTGAGCATGTATGCTAGGTACCAGGCTAAAGACTCTACATGTAACACTGTGTTAAAAATTCTATAATCTTATAGGAAGACACTGTCCCTATTTTACAGGTGGAGAAACTGAGGCTCTCGGAGGTAGGATACTGACTATGGCTGTGCAGTTAATGAATGAGTCTCGGGTTCAAGTGGGACTGCCCTTAAGAGCTTAGCTTTCCTGCCAGTGATGGGAGGCTGACTAAACAGCTTTTGGGTTTTGGCTGGCCAGTTTTTTCTCTCCCTAAACCATGATATTGAGGTCACCTTGCTGTCGTTAAAGGAGAAAAAAAACCCTCACCGACAATTCTTATTTATTTGTTTCTTCTTACAATTATTTTTTTTTGCAAAAATCATTTGCCTGTGTTGGTCCCATTTCCCCCACACAGCATAAATGATTTCGCTACCTGGGGTGCCTCGGCAGCTGCCACTTTCTGCAGGGGGGGTCGCAGGGTTGACATCGTAATGATGAGGAGACCCTGGTGAACACCGGCCCCCCCGTGGAGTGAGCGAGAGAACAGCCCATCATCCACTCGGGCCACTGAGGACTGACACAGCAGGGAACGGGTTTCTCCTTCACTGGTTTCTGCGTTTTCCTCTTCGTTTCCCTTTTCAAGTGTTAGAGCGTATCGAATGAGCCCTCTCTCCCTCCAGGACTGTTTCAATCACTTGCGTTTTCGGTTATTCGTTCCTGTGGGTTGGTTGTTTTGTTTTTATTTTTGGGCGGTGGATGGGGTACTGGTATGGATACTTAAGAGGTAAGGGAGGGTTTTCTTTTTTACACTTTATGCTAAATAGCAAAAATAAAGGAGGCGCAGAGCTCTCTGGCCAAAGCCGTCTTTTTAGTGCTTGCAGCGCTGACCATTTTTTGTTGGCCTTCAACAACTAATGATAATGGGAACCGACACACATGGTGTGCGTTATTTAGATCCAGCATTCACGCCAGCATTTTGGCTGATGCAAACTTTCCAAATCAAGTGTTTTTGCCAGAAGTGACAAACCTCCTTTCCCAGAGTGTATCAGATGTTTACTGGGACGGATGGCCTCCTGTCTTCCCCACCGCACCGGATTGTTTTCTGCCAGGCCAATGCTTCTCTGCCACTTCCCTTCCTACCCTCGAGGTGTACGCATTCCCTCACTACATGGTTTCTTGTTGTTGTTGTTGTTACTGCACTCAGCCTCAAAGAACTCCTTTCTTTGAGAAGTCCTGGCTGGCCTGATAAGACAAGGGCAGCCACCAGGGACTTCTCCTAAAAAGAATGGGTTTGTCCATTTCTGTTTCTGAAAAGGCCTTGCACGTGTTCAAAGTTTTCCTGTGCAGACATATGTCAGAGAATGTTTTCTTAGGCTTCAAGACTGTATTTCTTGGCCAGAGGGAAAGTGTAGTCTATATACTTTAAAGTCTGAAATCTGAGATAATCTTTGCATGATCAATAGCTTGTTGGTTTAGTTCAGGCACATCTTCGATATTGTCAGCTCCAATTAAATTTGTAGTTCTACTCTTTTGCCCTTTCCTCTGGACTCTCCGACCTGTCCCAGGTACCCTGTATTCAGAGCTGGCAGTTATGGTCAGTCCCTCCTTGACAAGACGTGTAAGGGTATTCCGGGTCGCGAGCAGAATTAGGGAGAACCGAGAAGTGGAGGGGAGAATTTCTAGTGTGACCCTGTATTGGCTTCCAGAGAGGAAGAAAAACAAGACCGAGTTTTGAGCAGAGACTGAAAACAAAAAACCCTGCATTTGCTTCCTGCTTCTTCCTGACCGGTGTTAATTTCAGAGTGTTTTGAGCTACAATCCTTGGTCGTATTATGGAGACAAACTGGATGGCATTTTCTAAGATTCTTTCCCTTGTAAGACAGAGAATTGTTTACAAATGCTTCAGTTTAAGGGCTTATACATGTGAACCTTTTTTGGGAACGTCTTATTATTAATTCATTGATCAGGAAAATGGAGAGGCGGGTTCTGAAACAATCATCCAAAGGCTTAAAGGAGGTATTTTTTAAAATAAAAATCAAAACTGTATGGGCTAGGATTCTAAGCAGTGGTAGAAATAGGTCATGGTTGCCTGTTAGTCTTGCTTGCATCCAGGCAAACAGTTTTGGCCTTCGGTTAGTTAGTTGCTATTTAAAAAACAGACCCATATCATGGAGGCGGGGATGTTCAAGGCCCGGGTAATAGGGGAGGGTGTGAAGAGCCAAGCGATTTGTCTAGAAGAGGCAATGCCCAGCAGATAAAATGAAAGACATAGACGTGGACTCATCCAACTAGGGGCTTCAGATCACTGGACATTCCATCCTTTCTTCTGAAACTTGCAGGTGGGGTAGTTTGGGGTGAGGGGTGTGTGGAGAGCTGAATATATATCACCAAGCTTTTGGGGGTTTTGGCGTTGGATTATTTAAGAGTCAATGTGAAGTAGTCTAGAGACAGAGAAGTTGATCATTGAAGAAAGACGTTATGCATTAAAGCCAGGCAGGCTCAGCCAAATAGCACACATGTCAGCTCAACATAATAAAGAAGAGGGACTGGGAAGGAATGGAAGAACACCTTTTGTCCATCGAAAATTGGTAACTTATTTTCCAAATTCATTATTATTAGGATTATTGGATCCTAATCAAATAATTCATTGGATTATTCATTGAAAAAGCACTTAATTTCCAGTCATTTTCAATGGTGAGATGAAGGTGAACTACATGAATTGAGGTGAGAGCACAGTGGCGTTGACCTCATGAGGTTGAGCCGGATGATGTTTGGTTTCTGCTCCTTTGCTGTGAAATCAGCTGAATGCTTGCACTACGTGATGTGGATCTATTTCACAATCTATTCATTGCACTGAGCCGAGGATTGAAATGAGCCATCAGAAAGGAAACCCTCTTTCACTCTGCCGTTTCTGTGTAGGAGTTTGTCATCAACACGCCATGTGAAAACGCTGAGAAGATGTACATCGGAAATGCGATGTATGGGAATTATGCAGCTGTCTTTGCCCAGCTCATCATAAATGGAAGATGTCAAGGTTTGTCACTGGCACGGAAACCTAGAATGATTCTCTTTACTATTTTCCAGTGACTGCTTTACACTGAAAACCCATTTCACAGGGCTGTTTTTATTTTGTAAAAAATTCAGTACTAACTTTATCTTCTAAATATACATGATGATAAAATTTATCATTACATTTTGATATTATTTACTATTATGTGCAGTGCACAGTCATAGAATTGAATGAATTTCAAGATCAACATAATTGTATACTGTCCCAGGAAATGAATAAAGCTTTAATCATATCTTTAGGAAAGAGAGTTGAGTAACTGTCTCTTTGCCTTCCTTAGGGCCCCACTGTTTCATCGTTCCTATCCGGGACGGAAACGGGAGCTTGTACCCAGGAGTGACGGCTATTGATATGATGTACAAAGAAGGTAAGTTCCCAGGTGACCCCTCTCCTACCCTCATTTGTACTTCCTGCCTGCTCCCCAACCCGCCCAAGGGGAGTCTAACTTAACTCACCCGAACGGTGAAGGCAGAGAAGATTCTCTGCTTTTGAGCCTGATTAGAGTCTTTTATGTGGAGCTGTGAGAGAATGTTGCAGATTGCCATTTATGAATATGCATTGGTCTCGTTTTCTCCCAGCCTCTCGTACTTCCTAGTCATGAGGCAGCTTTGCCTTGAGTTGTTCCCTCTTCTCTAACTCCTTCTTGGACTTGTGGCTCTCAGAGGGCAGGGTGAGGCTCTCTCTCTAATGCCCCTGAGCCACCAGCCTGGTGTTGGTGCCCTGAGGCCCTTGATGAGCCCTAAGGATTGACTTGGTGTGCTAGTTTGCCAGGGCTCTTGTACCACATACTGAGTGGCTTAGACAACAGAAATGGATTGTCTCACAGTCTGGAGGCTACAAGTCCGAGATCAAGGTGTCAGCGGGGTTGGTTCCTTCTGGGGGCTGTGAGGGAGAGTCTGTTCCAGGCCTCTCTCCTTGGCTTGTAGGTGGCCATCTTCATGTTCACACAGCATTCTCCCTGTGTTCCTGTCTGTGTTCAAATTCCCCCTTTTTGTAGTGACACCAGTCATTTGGATGAGGGCCCACCCTAATGGCCTCATTTTAACTTGGTGACCTCTGTAAAGACCCTACCTCCAAATAAGGTCACATTCGTAGGTACGGGGGGTTAGAACTCCAATGTATGCATTTTTGGGGGGGACACAGTTAAACCTATAAAACTGAGTGGGAGCAGGCTGTACCTGTGGGCTCCACTGGTCATCACCAGCCAAGGCCAAGCCAAGCCAAGCGAAAGAAACAGGTTGAGGGAGAAGAAAAATAAGAGAGAAGAAAGAGCAGCAGAGAGAAGGAAGAAGAAGACGATCCTTGGGTGGAGGAGGGTAGCCTCACCCCGGCCCCTTGGGGTTTGTCGACTGCCGCAGAGCCTGCAGGAATGGGCTGCAGGTGGTTTGTGAGCACTTGAAATGTGTCTCCCAGGGGTAACTGAGGCCCTCACTAGCCCCGGTCCCTTGAAAACGCCTCATGTGTCAAGTGTTGTTGAGAGCAGAGGGGTTGGACCAGCTCTTGTGAAGTGGTGCCAGACATTTAGAACACTGGCAACCTCAGAAGGTCTGCTTTGGTTTCCTCGTAAGCTCCTAAATGCGAGTGTGTCCTTGTCAAGGGGTGATGTTCTAAATAAAGACATGTACTAAATAAAAGATCTTTTCCCCCAGATTAGATCTCCCTAAGTGTGAGATGAACTAAAAGTAGACCCCAGCCTGACGTTAGGAAATAGGTGTGGAGATTTCAAGAACCTTCTGGGGAGTCAGGTCACCCCACCCACCCACTGCTGTCCTTGTGGTCATTTCCCTTTGTCTTTTACACTTTTAGTTTCACAAATTGACCCCCTGTGCTGAGGAGGAAGCACCAGGAGGGAGGAGGAATTTGAGCTCTGCATCCCTGGGGGAATAACCAGCTTTCCTGCTTTCTCTGGGTTCAGTCTCAGGTTCTTTCAGTTGCCTAGAACTCTCTCTCTCCCAGTCATAATGACTGCTTAGGGGGGCAGCTGTGTCCCCACCAGATCCCCCACCTGTGCCCCAGAGCACGCGGGCTGCACAGCAGGCACAGCTCTTCAAGGAAACAAACAAACAGCATCCCCACTCCCCACCCCAAATAAAAAAGCATCAACAATTCTGGGAGTGAAATAAAGGGCTTTGCATTTTAGTAGAGACAGGCCTGGGAAGTAACAGGCACAATATTTCTGATGCTAGCACAGATTTGTCCCCTGCAGCTCATTTAATTTCTGCTCTCTCTAGGTCTGCAGGGTGTGGATAATGGGATTTTAATATTTGACAAGGTTCGAATACCAAGGGAGAACCTGCTGGATAAGTGAGTAGTTTTCTCCTTAACTCAGATCTGCTGTGTGTATGATCTCATTCCTCTCCCAACCCGGAGATGGTTCTTGGGTCTCATGGGCTGCATGTCGAGGCTGTCTTCTCATAACCACTCCTGCAAGTTTACTCCAATTCCAACTAATTGGAATATGTAGATAAACAAATAGAAAGAATTAAAATTATCCAAAATGCTATTACCCAGACATAATGTTTGTTATACTTTAATGTATAACTCTTTAGACCTTTCTCCATGATGATATATCTAAAGAGAGAGATATGTTTGATTTTTACTGAATGAAACCCACTTATAAATTCTATTTTTTATAACTTGTAATTTCTGTTTAACATTATGTCAAATGTTTCTGTGCAACAATAAATACACATATGCATTATCATTTTTAATATTGTCATAATAGCCTGTTAAATAAATGATCTATAATTTATATAATCAACCCCTTATTGTTGGGTATTTAGGTTGTTTCCTTTAAGAAATTTTTTTTTTTGCTATCATAAACCAATTAGTGTTATTGCCTCCTTTATGGGTGGCAGGAGATAAGGCATCTCCTTTCAGCTTCGGAGGCTGTTATAACCAGTACTGGTTGGGTGGATAATGTCAGAGGTGCTCAGTGTTGCTTCCCAGCATCCTTCAGTGAGGTCAAGTGGGGTTAAACAATGAGATGAAGATCACTTCTACAGGTGCATCCCAGGAGTGGAACTCCAGGGCTTCACAATGCTCTTTGCAGAGGCTAAGAAACACCAATTACCTTTACTTTTCTCAGCAGCATTTCACGTATCCAATAAGAATCCTGAACCACCGTCGTATTCAAGTCTGTGAAAAAGCAAGCAACCAGGCTTGCTCCCTGCTTTCCCAGACATTTTCCTTTAACATTTGACTCTTTTTTGTTGCCTGCAAGTTCTTGCCAGCAGATAAATGTCGTAGATGCCAAAAGTTTAAGAAAAATGTGGCGGAAACAAAAAAATAGACTAAATTCTGTTTGTTAACTTTTCTCCCCCTGTATATTGGTAGGAAATAAAATGGAAACAACAAAAGCATCTTCACAGTTATCCCGGTGGGTGGTGAAGCCCTCAGGCCCCCTAAGGAGCTACCAGTGCCCATAACAGCAGGTCTGAGGACCGCCAGCCTTCCCCAGAGGTGCCTGCACATTTCCCGGTCACTTGTCAGCGTCACTCCGCTCTAGGAGATGGGGAAGAGGGAAGGAAAGGCACAGATGTGGAGCTCACCATATCTCACCCAACCTCATGGGATCTTAAGTGGCCTGGACAGTCTTCTGCCAGAAGCTAGACCCACTGGCTTAGCATTCATCCACTAGAGGTTAAAAAGTCAGATTCAACCAGAATGAAAAATGCTAGGGAGCTACGTGGACTGTAGAAGATATGAGAATATATGGAATATTCTTTGATAAGTAAGATTTGATTTTAGAGCCATTCCTTTGGCATTTAAGCTGCCCCCACCCAGTCCCCCAATACTACAGAACAGCAGCAGCAACACAGATGTTTTGAGGGAAGAGTCCCACTTTGGAAGTGTTGGTTCATCACTTGGTCAAAAATGGGCTAGTAAATAGACATACAGATTCAATGAAATCCCTATGAAAATCTTAGCTGCCTTTTTTTACAGAAATTGAGAAACTGGTCCTAAAATTCATATGGAAATATAAGAGACTCAGAATGGCCAAAAGAATCTTGATAAAGAACAAAGTAGGAGGACTCACACTTCTGATTTGAAAACTTACCACAAATCTACAGTAATCAAGGCAGTGTGGTATTGGCATAAGGATATATGTGGACAATGGAATAGAATGGAGAGTCTAGAAATAACTCCTTACATTTATGGTCAGTTGATATTTGACAAGGGTGACAAGACAGTTTATGTGGAAATAATAGCCTTTTCAACAAATGGTGCTGGGACCATTTGTTGGGTATCCATATGCAAAAGTCTGAAGTTGGACCTTTACCTCATACCATATATAGAAATTAACTCAAAATGGATCATCGATCTAAATGTAAGAGCTAAAACTATAAAACTCTTAAAAGAAAACATACGTGTGAATCTTTGTGACCTTGGTTTAAGCAATGATTTATTATTAGATCTGACACCAAAAGCACAAGCAACCAAAGAAAAAAATAGATAAATTGGACTTCATCAAAATTAAAAAAAACTTGTACTTCAAAGGACACTATGAAGAAAGTGAAAAGAAAATTCACAGAATGGGAGAAAATATTTGCAAATCATATGTATCATAAGGGTCTAGTATCCAGACTATGAAAGGAACTATTACAACTCAACAATAAAAATACAAGTGACCCAATTAAAACATGGGCAAAAATCTGAAGAGACATTTTTCCAAAGAAAATATACAAATGGCTAATAAGCACATGGAAAGGTGCTCAACATCACTGTCATTATGGAAATACCAATCAAAACCATAATTAAATACCATTTTGTACCCACTTGGGTGGCTATAATAAAAGAGAGATGGTAACAAGTGTTGGTGAGGATGTGGAGAAATTGGAACCCTCATACATTGCTGGTGGGGATGTAAGATGGTGTTACCAATTTGCAAAAGAGTTTGGCATTTCTTCAAAAGTTTAAAGTTTTCATATGACCCAGTAATTCTACTCCTAGGGATGTATGAAAACATTGTCCATGACAGAATTGAAAACGTATGTCCACACAAAAACTTGTACACAAGTGTTCATAGCATAATTATTCATAACAGCGAAAAAGGTGGAAACAGCCCAAATATCCAACTGATGAATGGATAACAAAATATGGTTTATCCATACAATGGAAAATCACTTGGCCATAAAAAGGAGTGAAGCACTGACACATGCTACAAAATGCATGAACCTTAAAAACAATGTGCTAAGTAAAAGAAGCCAGACACAAAAACCACATATTGTATGATTCCATTTATGTGAAATGTCTAGAATGGACAAATAGAAATAGACAGTAGATTAATGGTTGCCGGGGCCTGGAGGGTGGGGAGTATGGTATGGGTTTCTTTTTAGGGTGATGAAATATTTTGGAATTAGATAGTGGTAATGATTGTAAAACTTTGTGAACTTTGTGAATATACTAAAACCAATTGATTGTACACTTTAAAAGGGTGAATTTTATGGTATGTAAATTATATCTCAACAACAAAAAAGTGGACTGATGTGTGGTCTTCACACTCAGGCTCTGGTGTTGGTTTAATGACGGTGGTCCTCATGCCTCTGTGTCAGGGGCCACTGCAGAGTTGCAGGTTAGTAGTGGCAGGAAGCCTGCTTTTAATTTCCATGAGTGAGTTGAGCCTTTGTCAGCATCTCCTGGGGAGGTACTTCCCCCGCCCTCCACTCTGCTGTCTCATGAGGGCGGTTCCAGCACGTGGAAGCCTGTGAGATTGCCTTGTGTGTGCATGTAGGAGCCACCTGACTTCATTTCTAGTGGTGCCATGTTCTTCTTTTCTGTTAACCCCACCTCACTTTTCCACCCGTCTCTCCCTGACCACAGGTTCGGTTCCGTGACTCCAGATGGGCAGTACCATTCCCCTATTAAGAACAAGAGTGCAAGATTCAATGCGATGCTGGCAGCGCTGACCCCTTCGAGATTAGCTCTGACTTTTCAAGCTTTGAGTGCCATGAAGGTAGTTGACGCTGATTTTAATTTACCTCACTGTTTATTCTCTGCATGTTCCAGGGGTGGGTAACAATTTCAGAAGCTGAGCTTCCCAAGCCGTGGTTGGTGTAATATGGCTGGGGTTACTGGTAAGATACTAGGGAGTGCCAGTTGGCCATGCACAGAGAACATTTCTGCACCCTTCTTACCACGGAATCCTGTCCATCTGCATCCCAGATGTGTGCTGCTGATTACGGCGGGTGGAACATAGGCACTGTGACAACAGAGCCACAAAAGATGACCCTGGGAGAATGGCTCGTTCAGAACAAACACATCTGCTGGAAAAGCAGCTAAGAGCTGACTCACGTGGGTGAAGGCCGGCTTGTCTTGGTTGAGTTCACTGGGGAGCATTGATGCTCACGTGGGTGTTGGGGGTGTGGCATTCACATCACAGGTTAGAGTCCATGAGGCCAGACCTCCAGAAACTATCTCTGCCTCCCCTCCCCCTCCCCTGCCCCACCTTCCCGTATATTGGTTTGGAAGGAGCAGCCAGAAGATAAAAGTTCTGGAAGGCCCCCTCCTCCTCCTTGGAGCTCAGCACTCTCTGTTCTCTGGGCCCTCTCTGTCGCTTTGCATGAAGGAAAAGCCTGCTTTAAGCTCCACTGAGCTTGGTGAAGCTGGAAGAAAAATTAAGATACCCATGAATATACATTGGTGGCTTGAATCCAGCTTTTCCATCAAGAAGGATTAAATTTCATTCACCTGACTCCCAGCCTGACATCAGTACCCAGTTGTCTGAATAGCCGGAAAATCCTTCTTTACTCACTTCTACTGGGTCTGTCCCACTCACAGGAAGCCTGCCTGACTCGGGCTTCCCCATGCAGTGCCCTTCCCACGAGTGGGCACAGCTGTGACCCTGTGAACACCATGCTCAGTGCTGAGCCAGTGGCCGCACGCTCGCCCATGGCGTTGATTCCTGTGCCTGTTTCTCGGTGGCTCTTTAAAGGGGGCTGGGTGGGTGTTCAGTTCTGAAGTCCCAAGTCAAGAGTGGCTCAACTTGTCCCCTTGGCTGAGCCCGCTGACATCTGATAAATGAATGAGGGCCCAGAAGATCCTGCGATGCAGGTGCAGGGGTGAGGCCAAGGCGCTAGCAGAGCGTCAGAGTGCAGAGGAGAACAACTTCTTCAAGTCGGTAATAGACACCATTTCAGCCATTTTCAGGAGCCCAGAAAGAGGCAAAAGGAGAGAAGCCAGATGAACCTGGAAGTGCGTCGTGGAGCAGATGGGATAAAGATCTGATCCGGGTTCTCTGAAGCCGCGATGGCGGTGTATGCACCGTGGCCCGTCTTGTCCCCGTAGCCTGCAGGGTCGCTCTGAGGAAGAGTGCTGGGTGAAGATCAAAACACACCCTGGGTCCCGGCTGTAAAGGTGGTGCAGGACCCCGTGCGGTTAGGTTTCAGAGTGGGTGATGGTGTGTGGAGGACATTCTTGCTGCCAGCAGCCCTGTTGGCTCATCCAGCCTGTTGGTGGAGCCTGTGGGGCAGGCATAGGGTAGTGCAGATGGGGCAGTGGGGGGCTTTCTGGGAGAAACCTGCTTTTCAGTATCACGGGATCTGGAGCAGTGGGGGTGGGGGCAGAGGAGACAGTGGTTGATTTAAAGAGATAGCTGTTCTCCATTCTACTGAACGTTATTGAGGTGCCAGCCCCTGCTGACTCTGGAGGGTCTTGGGGGGCCAAATTTGTATCAATTCCTTGTCAGGCGTCTGACATGCGTACTTCATTCCTGGCAATGCAGAGCCCTTATTATAATCACAAGCTCTGAGGTCAGGGAACCCTGGACTCAGATCTCAGCTGGACGAGACCAGCAGTGGGGCTATGGGCAAAGCAATAGCCCTCTCTAAGCCTTGGTATCTTCATCTTAACATGGGCCTTATGATAGTGGTGAGGCATGCGTGAGAGGACTGTGTGTGTAGTGCTGGCACAGAGCAAATGCTCGGTAGCTCAGAGCTGTTAACTGCTGTGATGGCGGTGGCTGCTGCTGCTGTTAGGACATGGCTGTAGGAAAGGAATACATGGGCTTTTCCATGAAACAAATGCCTGGAATCCTGACCTCCAGGTAACAAGGAGGTCTGACACATTTTGCAGAGGTGCAGAGGTCCCTTGGATTCCTGGGTATCTGGAGCAAAGCATAGTGACTCGAGTTGGCACTTGCCCTGCCCAGGAGGCGGATTTGCCAGGGGACGGGGAGACCCCTCACAGAGTGTGGTGGCCTCAGACCCTGCGGGAAGGGGCACCGCCGCTGTGGTTGGCCCTGACGGACACCGACCTTGGCCACGGTGATCTCATCGCCAGCGTCTTGGGCGAGGATGATCTCACCAGCCCTCTTGGCAGCTCCCCCTTCCTTGAGCTCAAACACAGGACAGATGTTTTCTCCGCTGAAACCTAAGACGATCCTGCTTGTTCTGCTCTCGCTGATGAGTGGGAAAACGGATCCCTTTCTCCTGCGCGCATTCCTTATGTATTAGAAAACTGTCACCACGGCTCCCCACAGTGACATTCGCTCAAGGCTGAGCACGCCTGGTGCTTTTAAACTTTGCCCAGACGTCTTATTTTTCATGGTTATCTCTCATTTCCATAGCATTTCTCAGTGTGTTCAGATTTTCTCTTAAAAGCTTGCCATAGTAGCCGTCCTCTACTTTGTGTCCAAAATGCTGGGCCAGATTAAATGATTAGCAGGAACCAAAGGAAAAGGAAACTAAGATGTTTGGCAGGGGTGGGGGTGGGGGCCTGCGAGACCTCTGCAGCCCCAGCAGGGAGGCTGGAAGCCTTTTCAGGAGGAGGAAGGAAGCTGGGGAAAGTCACCGTGAGTTTGGAGGGAGGAGGCAGAGGGAGTGTGAAATGTAAATGAGGTCTAGCCCATTGTTTTGGGTTGATTTTGCTGGAAGTAATTATTTTAGCATAAGACAAGCCGGGTCGCCACTTCAAAAAGAGTCTCCTTAATCTTTTAAAGTAGGTGTTACTCAGTAGCTGGGTCCCACCCCCGGAGTTTCTGATTCTGCAGCTCTGGGTGGGCCCAGAAAATCTACAGTTGTCACAAGTTCCCAGGTGATGCTGACGTTACTGGTTGGCACTTGGAGACCCCTGCACAGAACAGGTGGATACGGCGGAAAATTCCCGGCCCCATCCCAGCCGCCTTGTCACCCTCCGTGGCCTCCCAGTGCCCCCAGGATCAAGGCCCAAGTTCTCTTCCAGTCGCCAGCGCCCTGCGTGACCTCTCCCCGCCCCTTCTCACGCGCTGCTGTGCTCCCTAGCAAGCCCACCCCCACCTTTCGCACGGTTAGTTTCAGGTACATTTCAAAGCTCAGCCTGATGTCCCTTCTCGGGAGAGGTCACGGCCTGCATGTGGTCCCTCTGTCCTGTTCCCCAGGCTCTGCACTCTCCCTCGCAGCGTTTATTACAGCCAACCAACATGCGATAGGCGGTTTCTGTCCCCTGCTAGCTTAAAAGCTCCACAGCCGGGGGCCCTGCTGCCTCGTTCGCTGGTGAGCGTTCAGCTTCCCACTCGAGGCTGGCACACAGTAGGTGCACAGCAAATAGGAGTTGAAAGTATGAACGAGGAATGAATCAGAATTCACATTTAAAGCTCCAGGCAGAGTTCCCAGCAGAGGTGAGTGCTCAGTACATGTTCGTTCTCGTGCCCCCACAACCCAACCCCTCAGCCCGTTCCTGGGGTGACCGGGAAGAAGGTTGTTGCTGCCTCTTCCTTCTACCCCTCTGCCCAGAACAAAGAGCCTTTTTGTTGCTTCCTCTCTGATTGTCCTGTCCCAGGCAGTGCCCTTCATGTCTGCTTCGTAGGTATGGGCTTGCTCACAGCGCTGTGGGAATGAGGCCCTGGCAGTCAGGAGTTCCCCGGGTGGGTGTGCTCCTCACACAGGGCACCGGTGACACGCACGGGCCATACTGCAGGCTCTGCCTGTGTGAGTACAAGTCAGGACTCCTGGACTGTTTCTGTGGGCATGTGGGGTGCTGGGAGGTAGAGACACCCATTACCCGCTTCTGTACCCCAGGGATTGTTGAGACGATGCCCACCCAGCAGGCTGCCGGAAAGTGCTGTTTCTTTGGAGAAAGCTATAGCCTCTCTCATTTCTTTGAGTGAAATGATCGGCTGGCCTGCTCCTGGCAACTCTGCCGCGTGCGTGGTTGAGGTCATGGTGCTGAGGACAGGCTCAGATCCTCTCTGGGGTTGGACGGTTAACCAAGAGAGGGTGGGGGACAACAGGACAAGTCTTGGGCCTCCATGGCCATGGGAACACCCTGCAGAGGACAGATCCTGGGGGAGTTGAGTGGCTCCGTTCTGTCAGGGTGAGGCCACCACTCCCAACTGTGGGCTGGGAGGAGACCTCACGGTCATGGCCCCCCGGGACAGGCTCTGGGTCTGCTGCTGCCATGAGTGGTGTGACACTGTGATGGAGTGGACGTGGGGGTGAATTTCCATTTCTCTGTGCTTTAGTTTCCTCATTGCTAAAAACAAGGCAAAAAAAAAAAAAAATAGCCATCTCATGGAAACATTGTGAAAATTCAATGAGTTAATTGAATTAACTGTCTTCACCACCACTGCCACCACCCCTACTATTACAAGCAAATAACATTTATTGAGCCCTCACTGTAAGCCATGCCCATAATAAGTGCTTTACAGGTGTTAACTCATTTCTCCTCCTAACAACTCTGAGAGGGTTCCATTGGTATATCCATTTTATATATGGGGAAACTGAGGCACGAGGAGGTGAAGGAATTTGCCCGAGGTGGGCACTTAATATGCAGCACTTGACTCTAGTGGTCCTTGTTAAAGGAGTAGATGGCCCCATGTTTGGAAGGATGGTCAAGCATGTTGTGTAGATAAGATTGACGTGTAGATATTATTGAGAGAGAGAGAAGAATTAAGTAGGAAGGCAGCCAGCGCAGTGCATGAATACGTAGAAGCTGGAGGTGCTCGGGCCTGTGCACCTGAATTAGCTGAGTTACAGCTGT